TAATGGGATGTTTGTTATCCATGATTCTTATAAATGTTTGAAAAAGCCAGGTAAAAGAAGCTATAGTCTCATCAGATAAAAAAGCAACTCCTAAAAGAACATTTTGCCAGTGATTGTTCACTCCGACAATTGGGGCACAACATAGGTTATATTTATTTAAACGATAACTAGTATCAAATATAATCACATCCCCAAAACAGTCATAATCGATTCTACCCAGACCATCAACCCAAAAGAAATTCAACAAACATCCATCTTCATCTGTTTCAACATCCCATGCAAACATGTGGTCATCAAACGCCCGTTATTTAAACAACTTGATCAGTGAATTAGTGTCTCCACTCTCAAACTTCGCTCTTCTTTCTTTTTGGATATGGTTGTATGCATCCCGCTTCGTGAATCCAAGATTTGCCACACCTCCAACTTCATCAGATAGGTACATAAATGCATCAACAGTTCTTATACCGGCTTCTGTCATAGATTTCAAAACAGCTGCATTATCAACACTAATTGACCTTGCCGACCGGAGCAAATATTGATCATCCGGCCTAGCCAGTTCGTGATTGTGACTCTCTACAGATTTATACACTGACCAAAGCCCATCTTTACTCACCGAAAATCTAATCATGGCTGGACATCCTGTTCTTGTACTTGATCTTCGATATTTTAACTTAGTACCACTTTCATTCTCCTTCTTGAAACCGGCTTTAGAACACACAAAATCCTTTGATTTGATTAACCTTGTATTTGGCCAGAAATGGTGATGTTCTTTCCGAACACTAAATCCAGTTGAATGGGCGTACTGGCAATATTTTTCATATGCTTCTTTCTCGCAATTGTAAACACCCTAATAAATATTCAAACATTAGCTTATATTTATATCTAAATATCAATCCATAAATTTAAAACGATTTTATACAGAGGTACCAAGCAGTTTTTGCAGTTAAACTGGTATTGCTCGGTAATGCTCGGTATTGCTCAGTATTGCTCGGTATTGCTCGGTATTGCTCCGTACAACTGTGTGCCGATATTTTACCTATCCATTATAATCAGTACCGAACATATACTGATCTAAAATATAGAATACCGACTTAATAAAAAAAATCTTCATACTGTAAATTATGTCACACACCCATCTTTGAAATTCTCCGGTTAAATCTTCATACTACTACAACCAACATTTGAAACAGTAAAAAATAGAAAAAAACAAACAGTATACATCAAATACTTACTAATATTACATCAGAAAAAGCTTCATCATAGCTTAAAGTTTGAGTTTCCTCGCAGAAAAATAAGTCTTCGAAACTGGAACCTTCAGTCGATCCTTCCATCTCCTAAAATACTGAACGATTTCTTTACGTCAAGTATATGAAAATTTTGGGAACATTATACAGTGTAGAACATCTTAGGTTAAATACAGAGAAGGTTTTAATACGAGAGGTAAAAGCCGCGTATTTTTTCATTTTCCCGCCCTTCTCATATGGGCTAGCGTCGGGTCAAAATGGGTAAAGTTGGCTGCCAGGTGTCGCGTTATCAAGCCATACCGAACGTAGAGATGCGTCAGGTGGGAGGAGGCAATAAAAATTCTCATTTTAGAGGGGTGGTGTTCGTAGAGCTGTTACAGGTTTTTGGGGAAGAATTCCCTTGGGGAACTATTTTAATACAATGTTATAGACTCCTCATCTAGTTAAGGGGTTGTCTAGAAATTACAAATGTAAGCATGTCCTGTTGGATATTATTGATCGACGTTTTGATTTAGTGCTAAGGGGGGTGTTACTGTTGTTGATCATAAGCAAGGTGATACCCTTTCAGATGGCAAATCTGAAGTTCATGAAGCTCAAATAGAAGTAGCTATGGGCTACCTTCATTGGTTTCTTTCAAAGGGTTTGTATTCCTTCATACGGTTATTGATTGGAAGGGAGCTTCGACGACGGTATGTTCAACTTCTTCTTATGTGGTTGAGAATCATAGTAATGAAATTATATCATGGGGGGAAAAGGCATTTAATGTTAGAATCAATGAGGACGGTGTGTTACAATCTTCATGTGTTGGTAATCATTTCAATAAATACCTAAGTGCTGCTAACTTAAAGGAAGGCAGTATTGATGACAGCAATATAAGTTATGTATTCTCTAGTTCTCCTCATAAGGTGTAGGTTATCACTAAAGTGCATACGTGGGAAAAATGTAAAAAGCTGTTCATAAGGGGGAGCGGGCTACCCTGTGCCAGTGGAAAGATTATGACGTGTGGTGTTCGGACCGTTCAGTGGTGAATTTAGATGTGCCACGTCACCTGGATGCACTAGATCCCGGGTGACATGACGGGTCTGGATTCGCCTCCGGATAAATTCGGACGGGGCACGTAATAATTTTCCGTGCCAGGGAGCAGGTAATATGGCAAGGATGTGGTAGTGCAAGTGGGCAAGGGCTCAACATAGCCTGAGAATTTGAAGTTGGATGATTTTCAAATGCAAAGCAAGTAGCGATTTTCTCTGTCATTTTATATTTATTTATTTCAACTTAAAATAAAACCAAAAATATAAGAAAATGAAACAAAATAATGGCCTTAATGTTCCTTAAGAAACAACCATAAAATTTCTATCTTTCTCTTGATCACAGCTAGCTTGTCTCTGTGCATGGATTGTTGATTTGACATTTCTTTGCTTTAATATACATTGTAAAGGCCAATTAAAATTCAGATCTGAGAGGTACAACGGTAGCTTGCCAAATTTAGTTTACCATCCTTACTCTTGGACCAAGGTGAGCTATCAATCTGTAACAATTTACATAGATACATGACGATATTTATATAATTTTATTTCAGTGACTTATTTATTTCATAAATGTGTGGTTCTTCCTTTCTATTTTTTTATTTCTAGATTTCCAACATAATCTTCCTGGACTCCCCAGTCGGAACTGGATTCTCTTTTTCCGATCATCCAGAAGGTTAAGAAGCTGGCGATAAATCTTTGTCAAAACATGCAGTAATATTTCTCAGAAAGGTTGGCAAAGAAATTGAACTGCATACAGTTTTTAGTTTATAAACTATTTTTTTCTTGATTGAACTCTCAGTTTTTAAATTTTATGTGGCTTATAGACCACCCGCAATTCCTTTGCAGGAAAGGTTGTGCCACTAGTGGTTCATAATATTTTAAATGGTAAAAAAAAGTGATGCTTATTTTTCAATATTAGTTATTTTTTTAATCTTTCTTTAGCAATAAAATTGTTAATTCCTAACCCATTTTGAACTGCAGGAAAATGACTTGGATGAGCAGCCAAAATTTAATATCCAGGTCACCCTTGCTTTTTTGGGGAAATTAGGTGCAGAGGCCTGTATTCATTAACTATAAATACAAATTACATTGAGTACATAACTCACCTTGGTTTATTGGTTGGGAGCTTAGGCTACCAACTAAGAGGTCTTTGATTCGAGTCTTGTGTATGTGATGTGTATAGGAGTCTGCCATAATTAGCCCAAATGTCCCAAAAAAAAACAATATCCAATCAAACAGCTAGGGAATAAAAAAAACACAATGATATACATTCAAAATAGGAAAAATAGTTATTCAAAAAAAGAAAAAAAAATTCAATAAAAACAAACCGAACTCAAAATGACAAAAATTGTGACATCCAAGGCATCTATAGTGAAAGGATTCATCGACAATTTTGATCAACCTCACTTCCGGCTCCCTTGCCCTGACCTGAAAATATTAATCACATATAATAAGCTTCAAAAAGCTCAGCAGGTCACCAAAAACCTACAACTGAAATCAAAGCACGGTACTGAAACAATATGCATGCCAATCAGTCAAATCAATAACAGTCACTTGCACATGATCATTGAATCTATGCAGATACGAAAATCAGTAATCAATGCATAATCAATAAAATTCAGAGTCATCGGTAGGAAAATCGATAAATAGTAGAAAATCCATAATGCTCAATAAATCAATACATACGTCAATTCCATCATATATATGAAAGCATCAGTCAAATCCATAGAGAAAAAGCATCGTAAGAACAGTTAAAATAGAATTAATGCAATAAATACGTATTCTATATCACGTGCTCGGTGTATCACATGTAGCAGATCAATATTCGGTGTATCAATGAATCAATGGTATTAACAAATCTATAGTATCGATGAATCAATAATTTCAGTGTCCGTAGTATCAATGAATAAATGCAATATTAATATCCATATCAGTGACATGTACAGTATGCAGTATCAATGAAATCGTACAGTAACTATAAACCCGTAAATCTGTCGGTAAATCCATTCAATATCAATAAATCTTCAACAAATTCGTTGATATAAATAAATGCGTACGATAATCAATAAATCAATAAGTAACAATAGATCAATTCAATATCAGTAAATCCATAAGGTAATCATAAGAACAATACTTTAAACATACAATTCAACACAATAGTCTTACTCGACAAGTACAATCACTGGCTATTAAGGCATTTTTCAAGGTTAATATCGATGTTAGTAATCCGTTGGATCAATAATAGAGTCGTCACTCTTCGCCCGTCGGCATAATCTCCTTATGACTCCCAATCGTTATATCACGTGATCAATAGAGGATAACACCAAACCCTTTTTAAAGAAAAGCCCATCGGCCAACCATCCTGTATAGGTCAATCAATCTCCAACCAATGGTTCAACCAGTCTTTATTTTCCTTTCAGTAATATAACAGTAATTTCAATCATATATCCACATACGTATACATCTCATTAATACATTGAAAGTTCGTTAGGGATGTTAAGCCCTTTATGAATGGCCAAGGCTAAATAAAGAGTAGGCGAATTGGTAAAAAGAAACTTTAAGCAAAGTACAAACCAAAATCACCACAAATAAAATAAATGCAAAAATTAAATGCGGAAGCAATAATAAAGAAAGAACGCACCGGATTTATAGTGGTTCGGTCAAACCTTGACCTACGTCCACTCCTTGGAGGTACCTCCAAGATTGCACTAAAACAAGTGTCTCTCCTTTAGCCCCAAGCTAGGCGGAGAAGCCTTAACAAAATCACTTCCACCTTCCCCGGTGCGCAGAGTCACCGGGTCCTTTGACACCAAAGAGAGATCTTCTTCTTTGGTGAACTTCTCTCGAGACAAGCCTTGAATCCGACAGTATTAAGAAGCAAGCCTGCCGGAGCAATCGTGTGGAATCCCCCTCCACACTCCCTTGAGTCCCTCCTCCACCAAGATCTTCTCCCTCTCAAATTCCACCCTTTCCTCTCTCCCTTTCAAGCTCTCTCTTCAAGTTTCCCCCATATGAACGAAGCTACAATGGCTGCCAAAGACACTTACAAAGTGCCTTGTCATAGCTTAAATAAAAGAGCTAAAAACGAGCTCATTAATGCAAGTTGCCGACTTTATCGTCCAGGACGATAGACATATCGTCCTGGCCTGTTAGTTCAAATATGAGGAAAATCGTCCTGAATATCGCCCTGAAATGAAGCTAGCCGATGTCTAATCGTCCCGGAAGATCATGCGATCGGCCAAGATGAAATCATCATTAATTGCTTTCCAAAATTGCCAGAGAAATTTTGAAAAAATTGTCCTGGATCGTTCTGGCCGATATTTTATAGTCCAAGCCAATCCACCAGGCTGATATCCAAAAGTAAGAATTTCCTAAATAAATCTGGCGGCAGATTCTTTCTGAATTGAGCCTATCGTCCTGGCCGATACAAAATCGTCCAGGACGATGTGTTTTGCATAATGACTGCTGCTTTAATGAGGATGCCCTAATTAGGGTTTCTGCTTTTGAACAGATTGTCTAGGCCTATATAAATATCTTCCCGGACGATGTTACCAAAAATAGTAAACTCTAGGGAACAGTCAGAAAATCTTTCAAGTTACAAAACATCATGAGCAACACCAAATACAATAGACTCAAGAAAGGAAAAAAAATGTACAAACAGACTCAGACCTAGTCTACCCAATCTTGAGCTGATTCCAAATTGCAGTCTGATAGTGTGAACCTGAAATGTCAGTACATAAGGCAGTCGTAGAGAAATAAAAAAGTTTGCTATCATCAAAATCATAAACTATTGATCCACAACATACATTACAATCAACAAACACGATTTAACTCAATTGATGAAAATCCTTAAAATATCGTACAGTCGACAGAAATCCCAAACAGAGACAAAATATGCAGTTTCAGAAAATTACCAAATTACCAAAAATCGGATAGAACAACGTTTCAAAGTTTTACTTGTACTGAAGCAATATTTTTCATCATCCAGATAATTTCTTATTCGATAAAAACACATCAGAATTCAAAATATCAGGTGAAAACTTTTCCAGAAAATACTCAAATCGAGCAAAATCGTCATTTCTATAACATACCAAAAGTTACGCGGTAAAAGTTTCATCAATACAAAGATTTGCAAGAATTTTGGTAACGGAAACACAAAACTGAGCAGAAAATACAAAACACGAAATCTTCGAAATCAAAAATAGGACTCATATTCCTTACAGCGAGACAAACAATTCTTCCAACTGCGGCATCGTACGAGCCTTTTTCCTTCCTTTTCCTTCTATTTCTCTCTCCAACTTTCTCTTTCTTCAAAATATCTCAAAATCAGATATTTATCAAGCAGGATCGTACGGGACAATTTGCTCTATGGATACATTTCGTCCCAACGAATTCAGGTTCGTACACGCAGTTCGTACGTACTAACCATACAGATTTTCATAATTTTCTTCAGTTCGTCCTGTACTAAAGCCAGTTTGTACGGACTAACAACATTCAAAAATATTGAAAATCTGAGGGGTTTTATAAAAATACACCCAAAATCATGGATAGTCAAAATATCAAAGTGCATGTTGATTGCTAGAGCGACCATCCAAGACAAGATAAATTGCCTCATTTCTAGCACACGACCATCCAAGGTTCGCAATATTGTATGATCCTAAACATTCATCATCTTCCGGTGATGCAAACAAAAAATTCTCAAAATAGCCAATCGAATGAAAACTAGCATAGTGGGAAACCATATTGACCTCCATAGAGGGCAAAAATAAAAAAAAGGTGATAAAAAATTACCTCAAATCATTACCTGTCGAAATAGCTACATAGCCGACGACACATCCCCATTCCTTGCTCAAATCCCGCTCAAATCCTCAGCCATTCGACCCATTACCTGCAAGCAGCACTTAACTGCCCTATCTCGTAGCTCCTAAAAAGAATTTTGCTCAAATCGTGTAGCCTCTACTCCATCTCAGGCTCCCATTCACACTATAAATGGACGAGCAAAAGAAGTATTCATTTCTTTTGCACAAGAAGCCCTGTCACCCTTACACACAATCACACCTCTTTTTCCTTCGAGCCACCATCTGCTATTCTTTTCACTTCCAACAAAGCCTCCACTCATACTCGCCAGCTACACCTCTCATCCATCTCCCATACGCCTCTATCGATCCACTCAAACATCCGTCCCCAACAGTCCTCCTAGCCACTCACAGGAAAAATCAACCAACGGTCAAAACCCTAGCCCCGTCCAACCTCAACGAACCTCTTACCAATCTTCGGTCAAACTCCACAACCTAGCTGCAATCTGACGTCCACCTTACCTGTATTCGATCCAATCAGCAAGCCTTGCATCCTCCCGTCCTTCACCCTACATCACATCCAAGCCTAACCCACTCTCTGATCTCACCTTTATCCAACTTCAAGCCAACTGTCTCCTAGCTCCAATCACCCATCGAAGGCTGCCCCTTCCACCTATTCTACATGCACTGTACCTAATCCCTTGTCTCTTCGGCTCTGTACCTAATCCCTTGTCTCTAATTGATCCCAACCGATCAAGCATGCCTCCTCCTTTAACATGCCTCAGCCTAATCATGCACCATGTCTGACAATTTTAATTGAGTCTTCCAATTGCAACTCCACCTACCAGAAGCTTCCTCATATCAACTGAGCCCATCGACGTCTAGATCACCCCCTCCATTGTGTCGATTCCTCTTCAATCCATTAAACTCCTCCATCATCAGACTGATCATAACCTAGTCACCATTATAGATATGCGATCGATTGCTCTTCTTCACGACCATCCCTGTTCTAAAAAAAAAAAGAAAGAAACATAAAAAGAAGAAAATTTAACAAAAAAGAAGAAAAAGATTTTTAAAAAAATTAGTTCATTTTTGCAATCATCATCACCAGTTCTCAATCAGGTATAATTCATAAACTCAAAATCCAGCATTTGCGGTGAGGCGGAGGACACCATATTCGAGCTCTCAAAGCACAATAGGCAAGATATCGATACGATGCTTACGAAGAGGCAAGTAGGCCATGTACACGCTCTTTGTAGTGTGGCGGGGATGACTCTAAGTACCCATACACACTTCAATGCCTGCAGGGAAAAAAATTGTGTATTTTTAAACAGGTACCTTGAAGACCCATAAATACTCTTCATAATGTGGTGGGGATTGAAAAATCATGACCGCAATATCATCTAACATCTACCATACATTCTTTTTGTAGTGTGGTGTGAAGGATCATACTCCCATATTTTCTCTAAATGGTGGAGACATCGAGAGGCTACTGAAATTCATAGAAAACAGAGGACCTTATTTGAACAAAGACACGAGGGACTAAATTTTCAAATTATCGAACCATAGGGAAGTGGACATTAAACTAATAAATCTACCAACACATTAAAAATACAAATGCCAAATAATAATCTGAATCATTCAATTAAATATCAGAGTGCAAGCAAATGATATGTGGTTTTCAACATAACCACCTACAAATAATAAAATTGAGGAAAATACATCATTTGCTTATCAACAAAAGAAAACAATCCCTAAATAACACTATAAATCATAAGCAAGTGGTAACAATTGATGTGTAGCATTCATGTCAATCATGAAAGTGTAAGTACAAGGCCTTGTAAGCAAGCATTATAAGGCAACCATTTCTGATGAAATGATGAATGACAAAATTAAAGTGACAAATAAACATTCAACCTGACCAATTAACAAGTAGGAGTG